ATTGAAAGTCATCCGTGCTTTTACCACTGAATTAGAAAAACCTTTGTCCTGGATGGAGAATCACGAAATCCGGCAAGAATTTAAACATTAAAAAATATTTAGAAATGGTAAGGCACGGTAGCCATCACCTCATTTCCAGGGATTATTATCATTTATCAATCACTCTCTAGTAGTATAATAATTAATAACACTTGATCAACAATTTTTGCTTAATAAAATTATAAATTACCTTTTATTGCATACTTTCTATTTCTTTCATACATTGCATATTATTGTCTGGGACTTTGTTGTAAAAGCGTAATAAATTGCCCGATGAATGAATTACTGATTTTTAGGAGTCTAGTAACTGGTATAACTAGCTTATGTGTTTCTAGTATTTTTAGAATGGGCATCACTGTTTTTATTTATTTTTTGTATTGCGTCCATACGGGTTACAGGAACGATATTTGCTTTTATCTGAAAATAAACATAATTTTGTAATATATTCTCGTGGCAGTGCCAGCGAATTTTTTCTTTTTCTATTTTTTTATACAAATAAGCGTAATATACCTACTAGCATAGATACAATATAATGGTAAGTGGATGCTGTGGACCATACTTAGATGTTTATGTCTATCCTCTATAGGTACTTTCATCTTAAAACCAATACCTAGTCCTCTTAAAGGAACTGCTTCTGAGGTTTAATATTTTATTTTGAAAAATGCCATAAAATATAATCATTGTTTAAAAATCTGTATAGATATCTTATATCATTAAAATAGCAGTAACTTTTTATCGACGCTTTAATTTTTTCATTCTGTTCGCTAAATAAATTGCTCCATTCTTGCCTATACAAGTATGCGCCTCCTGATCTGAATTAAATTGAAAGATTTGCTTAAACTCACCGCGCTGATCAAGTGGTGTGTTGCGCATAGGCAATACTGCCCAGTCGAATGATCAATTTTGCCGGTTGGTAATTTTGCCCATGGTTAATTATTTGAATAACTTTACAATTTTGTTTATTTTCTTTCCCTTCGTATTATGAATTTAGATTCCTCTTTAGGTATTTTTGTGCCGATTTCATGCCTATGTAGGTAACTATTACCAGTTGGTTTCTAGACTTGCAAATCTAAAGTTATTGCGAGTAAAACCGAGTGCTGGATGCTGGTAAACAATAACGAAAACATATTTTATTGTGACCTCGCGGTCGCGGCGGGACCGCATTTATCTTTCGATCTCGTATTTCTGCTGCCGTATATGGCATGTGCGCGCACCAACCGCATTAAGGGCACTGCCAAAGAATATACATTTACAAAGTTTATTTGAGGAAATATTTAACACATTTGAAAAGGAACTTAGTCGAATTTAAAATGATTTAATTAAGATCAATTCCAAACATCATATCTTTTGAATAAAACTATATTATACGCATTCTATCGCGTTTAATTTACTTATTTTAACTTATTTTTAATTCCCGACGTTTAAGAAATCATCATATCTTTTAGGTGTTGCTTTTATGACAAGCAGCATCTAAACGCAATGTTCTATTTTATAAAATTGAAAAATATCATGTCAGTATTAACTTCTTTGTTTATACTTGGTTACGGGTGTCCTTGGGCTACAATAACCACTTACCATCAGTTGGTCTATTAATTCACTAGGTAAGTAGTAATTAATAAATATGCATCCTAAAATTTTTAATTATTAAAAGTTATAGATTAAAAAATAAATTTATTAATAGGTAGGTACACACCGTAGTATATATTGTTCAAAAAAAGGCTTAAAATTTAAATTAGACGTGTACCAAGATACTTGGGAAATATTTTTGAATCTACTGTATTTCTTCAATTTTCATAAAATTTCTTTACCTTTTTTTCTTCCTTTAATTCTATTCCCGACTAAAATTCATGCATTTTTCTAAAATACTACATAATGTTCCATTTCCTCAACAGTGATGAATGTTCTTATACCACCACAACTCGAAACTAGGTAATATATAATATGAATATCAATAAAAATTAAGTTTAATGTAAAAGGAGAAGTACCTAGGTTAACAGTTAACACCATACGAAGCCAAACGTAGGTACGTAAATAACATTGCATTGATGTTAAGGGACAACAAAAACAAAATATAGTTTCTTATTTAACCTAACTGCGTATCCATTTTATCAAGTCTTTGACGAGGGGTAGACTAGGCGAGGTCATTGCCAACGACTTCGCGGCCGGAAGGAGGTTATTTCTTACGGCTTGCAGTCTTTCAAAATTAAACGCTTACCGCGTCAATGATATGGCGAGGGAGGTGGTGATGATAATGGCACAGAATAAATAATGTCTCGATTTGATATTATATATATTTTATGTCCACTTTGATTCTCTACACTACACACATATAATTAGACTTACCAAGTGTACTATATATAATAATCAGTAATTATATAATACCAGCTGTTTATTTAAAGTTTTACCATCCAAATTAAGTGCTAACAATGGAAAGGAAACATATATTTGTTTTCAAAAGTTTTTAAAATTTGTGTTCATAAAAAGTTTTTATTATAAATCGTAATCGTTTTATATTATAAAACATATCGATTACAACTATAGTAAATATTGCTCATGAACGACAACATTTACGAAACGCAAAATTACCTCTACGGTGGAATTCGCTGCGCACGCCGAGCTTTTTGCGCGCTAAAGCGAAAAAAGTTGCTATCGTACATGCGATGCTGTCCAGTCCAGACCGGTTGCGGGCGCTGATCTCACCGTGACGTCACCGCCGCTTCCTTCCGCCCCTCGTCTCGCATTCCGCACAGAATTAAGCTGACGTCTGATCTAGGAATCACATCATATCAGATACAATCCAGGACACACACATGGTGGTTATGTTACTTACCTAGACGACACGAGTTACCTATACACCTAGGAACATGTTGATGATTCGAAATGGTTTCCCTTTCTATATTTGCATTCCTTACGTGTAATGAAGAGACCAAACGTAATCTTGTTTAGATTGTAATTATAAATGTTATTTAATGATTTTGTATATATTTGTTGTGAATAATTTTCATTGCACCCGACACAATATCTCATTACACAAAGGGTCTGTCCTCTTCCCATCGAAACCTTGTTTATAATGGTGATCAACCAGTAAAGTTTAATAAACAAAATAACTTTATTAAAATTTTATCTCAAATTCGCTTATTTTTCTGTTAACATAATATTATGTATTTACCAATGTTAAAGATGAGAGTAAAAGTAAATTTTGATTGCTTTAAGGAAATCTCTTAAATGTAGTAAATATATAAATTATGTCGTAATGGTGTTAAATTTACGAACACGAAATAGAACGTATCATTTATTAAACGGGAAAACGTGAATCATATTCATTTGAAGCTGTGTTAATTCTGGTTTCCGACTAATAATAGTTATACCGAATAAGTGCGTCAACTACATTCTCACTGTTTGTAGGAATGAAAATATATAAGCAAAGTAACATAATAAAATAGTTGGTATAAAGTATTGTTTACAAACGTTCTTTTTATGAAGAATTTTTATAACTTCTATGAACCTCAGCACAAGTCCTTCGAAACTTGCAACATTAATGTTGTACTAGAATACAGAAATACTAGGCCTAAATAATTAAATAGTATTGTTAAAAGTAAATGCACTGTTAGTTTTGTAAGAAAATTGTCATGCGTCTTAAACAAAGAACCCTTGTAGCCCTTTCGTTTTTACTTGTACCAGGGGGAAACAGCAGCTGACGCATTCTTCAAAACCGGCACTATAAAAGTACAGTGGTTCTTGGAGAACTTGAATGATCGAAAGTCTTATTGGCATTTAATAATAATGTTTAAGTTATTCAATTCCAATAAGACTTTCACGGTTGAGCTTAACATTTTATGAACAAAGAAATTCCACTGCGATTTTAGCGTATCTTATCACTCTTATAAGAATAACTAACTGTTGGAAAGGTTACTGTTCCGTGACAGATATAGGTGATATTGTCCTACAATCAAAATATATATTTTTTATATAGAATAAGGTTGACAATCGAGCGCACAGACTACCTAATGGTAAGTGCATTCTGTGTCCCTTAGACATCTACATCTATCTTCGATTAAGAATTAAAATGCGGATGGGTTGTCACCCTTGAGGACTATGAAATGGAATGTCTCATTTCCAGTAAGAAGGGTCTCCGGTACACTCGCGATACGAAACACAGCAGCATTAAGCTGCTTTTTTCCGCTGGTATCTTGTGAGAGTGTGGTCCTTCCCTGGCCAAGCGAATCCATTCTTGCCACAACTATATATCTGCAGCGTGGCTCAGTGCACAAGTCGAAGTTTTGGCACCTAAAAAAACTTTTATTTAAGATTAAGAGATTAAGAACCTTAGATGATAAAATTATTTAAGTAATTACTTGCGTTGCCATCTTAAGGGTCGTCTAATAGAGTTTCTTTAGGAGTTTCTAACGTCTCTAAATTCATTATTTATCACAGCTTAATAAAAGTCTACTGCAGAACATAGGCGACTCCTATAGATTTATTCTCCTATAGATTTATTCGGAGGTAACCGATTTTTTTTAACTTGAGTTGTTATCATGTAGATAGCTGGTGCTGCCCATTTCCGGTGTCATTTCTCTCCGTGGCCTCTTACGATGCTCACATGTTACGCGGTAATGGATTTTTTACACCCCCATTACACGGTGTATAAAAATACAGAGGGAATCCAATTTTTCTCGAAGTTCCAAACACTCATGGTGGAGGCGGACGAATATTTAGGCAGATGGGGAAAATTTAATTCTAATAACCCAAATCCAAGTCCTGCTGGCAGATGAGGAACACATTACTAGTGTGATGTGTGGCTTTTGCTCACAAACTCGCCTGCCCCAGTGGGTTTTTGATCGAAGGTTTGGGCAAAATTTTCAAATAAAATAGCTAACAATGAAAAAGAAAAACAAGAAGAATTTATATACTCAGCATAAATTCACTACACAAATACATAAAAAAATATTTTCGTTTTCCAGGTGAATGGAGGCAGCGCTGCGGAACGCGCGGGTCTTCAGGCGGGCGACGCGCTCATCCGCGTCAACAACACCGACGTGTACAACTTGCGACACCAGGAGGCGCAGGATGCTATCCGTGCCTCCGGCGGCGCCCTCGAGCTCACCGTACAGCGGTATGATCAGATTCATTGATTCAAGCTTTACTACTAACACACAATTCCTGGCTGGCACCAAGCCATTTAGTTTTAATAGATACTTAGAAGTTACTCATTCTGAATGAGCTGCCGGACGAAATCCGGAACATTATTGTTGTTTCGGAATCTTATAAAGCAAGGCTGAAGTATAATTTTCTGAAAATCAAACAAGATGTTTAAAACTAATTACTTATATAAACTAAAGCTCCAAAAACTAAAGCTTTTGCTTATACAGGTGGTAAAACTCTGCTTATTAAATCTTACATCTGTATCATACAACGTCAATTCTTATTCCTAGATGTAAAGTGATATCATGTTGTTAAGCTTTCTTTTTTTAATGATTTATTATATTTACGCGAACACTACGGATTAATTAAAACTACTTTGACGGATTTTATCGCGTAAATTTTTTTGATTTTTGAATCCCGATGTTTCGGGGATTAAGAATCGTCGGGAATTAAAAATCAAGACATTAAACGAGATAAAATCCGTAAAAGTACTTTCGTTTTTTACTAGTACATTGAAGTAATGCTTTAATATACTATTAATCTAATAGTGATAAATAAAGTAATGCAATACTTAATATGTTTTCATTACCACCAAATTTTGAAATACATAAGCAAGCTTAGTAAAAGTTGAATGATACGTACTTAACAATTTTTATAGATATTGCTTATTGACTATAATCTGAGAGTAGTATAATCTATTTCTTTACTTCAGTTGTACTTTTATAACAGCGCTATAGGACTTGTATTTTTTTATAGAATCGTTTTTGGTGACAAATGAGCACACAGTCCACCTAATGGTAAGTGGATTCTATGGACCATAGACATCTATATTTATCTTCAATTAAGAATCAAAATGCTAATGCTGAGAACTGAGATGGAATGCCTCGTTTCCAGTAAAAATGGTCCGTCTCCGGTTCTCTACACTCACAATACGAAATTTCAACACTATTAAGCTTCTATTTTACGCTGGTATCCTGTGAGAGCGTGGTCCTACCCCGATTGAGCCGACCCATTCGTGCTACAACCACAATATAGCTGCAGCATGGCCCTACCACGTTGTTTTATTTAAATTATCTTGAGCATTTACATGTAGATGCTTCTTCAAAATATCATAAGTCATCAGAACTAAAAGTTGCTAGATTTACCGCTTAATACTCATCCAATAAATGTTATAACGATTTGTCGAGCAGTGTGTGGCCTTGCGTTATCATAGACCAATAATGACGAAGATCCATTGACTACTCGGGTTTAATTCTCTGGAAGATTCACCATATCGATAGAAGTTCTTCATAACGACATCTGCTGTTGTTGGTACGAGTACACCGAATTGCAAAAACCTAAATGAATTACATTATGTAGTGACCACCAAACAGTTCCCGTTTATTTATCTATGGTTGAGCTTCGTTTGAGGGCATTATTTCAGTATTTTACCTTTAGTGTTAAACGAAAGCGCCAGCAAAGTACCCTTAAAAATCGCTTTTGGTCCCTTGCTGCCATATCCCAATGGATTTTGTAAAAAGACTATTATATAATAGTTGTTATGCACCTGTTTATATTACGTAATATTATAAATCGTAGAATTAAACGTAGGTATATGACCAATTGATCTAACGTAGGTCGCCTCGGATCAAGTCAACGAAACCGGTGCTCACTTATTAATGCCGACGCACTTTGAGATAATTGCCTCAATTTGTTACTTACAGCGGTGGTAGCACATGGCGCCCATCGGTGACACCAACTGGCAGTCTACCGCGTCCCGGCTCGCGGCCGCTCGGCGCCGCTCCTGCTCCTGTTACCAACACCTCGCTGAAGGCAACACCGCAGCCTTCGCGCAATTTTGGATCTGGACACAACAGCGTCGCCAAGCCTTTTGGCTACGTACGTATATTATTATTATAGACAACTCTGAGCTTTTTGGTAATTTTAACTAAACTTCGCAGAATCACGCAGCCACTCAGACGTAACCATTATTCCATTCCATTATTAGAGATTGTTAATTAAAAGTAACTAGTATTCATTACAAGTTTTTTTTTAATTTGTGCCGGAGAATTAAACTTTTATATTACCTATAGCACATTTTTTAGATTTTGATACTGCTATGACATTATATTAGTGTGATTTATTGTCATATGATTACGTTATTTAGACATGTTCTAGTACTTTTTAGTATGTGCGTATGACGATAGCGTTACGGGCTTGTGTTTCGTGACAATTTAAAAAAAACAATAGTTTAAAAAATAAGCAGCATATTTGGTTTGTGTATAAAATAAGGTTTCCAAAAACTTTTTAAATTAGGTTTTGGCTAAGGCGGTACCCCGGCCAAAACCTTGCAAAAGTGCGTTTTTCAGAGACTATTATCTCATTATTTATGAGAAATAAACTACATCTAAAAGCACATTATTAATTTTCGATATCCTATCATTACATTCCACGTTCTAATTTGTCTTTGTGTGTTATAAATACATTTAAAATCAACTTTTAAAAAATGACTAATATTATTGATTACATGCATCTGTTGCTAAAGGCAACGCTCTGATCATTTGAGGATTACATTAATGATAGATATAGATAGATAGATAATTTAAAAATCTATATTTTTCACGTTTTATTTAATTTCTTAAGTTTGCTTTTCTTTTTTAATTGAAAGAATTCCAACAATTTGGGCGTATTTTTTCGCGATATATTGTAGCGAGAGCGCGTGAATTGTATAGGACTGAACGCTCAAGGCTCGTTCGCTAGGGGAAACGTCTATAACCAATTTATATTATAAATGCTAAATTAAAAAGTTTTGCTTCAAGTGTAGATACGTAGGTATTGTTTCTTTAAGGGAATATGTCAGGCGATTTGTCTAATCAAAGCAGTAAAGTATATTAATGTGATGTATTTACATTTACAGTAAATATATAAATAATATTATATGGTAGACCCATTGCCCCTATGCGTGATGTCGGACTTCACATGAGCTTACAGTTAAATTTTTCTTTACTTCTCGGACATGCAGGTTTCTTCATGATATTTTCCTTTACCGAGGCACGTGGTATATTAGCGCTTAAAATTGCAATTAACAAAATCATTTGCCCTATTGGCCTATACTTTAAGTAAAGAAAAAAAAAATAGGTAGAATCACGCAGGTAACATTATCTACGTATTAGAGCTAGCTTGCAACTGTATTATTGCTGCAACACGAAAGCCTTGCCTTCATCTTGGAAGCCCACACTCTATCAGGATACCATCATAATCCTGCTGTGTTTCGTATACAAGAAAGAAAGAAATGCATTTTATTCCAGTTTAAGCATGCAGCATAACAAGTAAAAGTAGTTAAATGCCAAAAGCTAAATATAACTACATTAAAAGTAATTTAACATTATTATAAATTTAAGAAAACATTTTAAAAATACCCAGTGCTGCAGCATGAAACCGTGAAACGCACCAGTTTTCAGTCCAGGCCTTACCCAGAGGCAGCTCGGGCGGCTGAGTGCCCGCTCGCTCTTGATGTCCGAAAATTCATAATATATAATATACATATTCATACCCATATTTATATATAATTGGACTGAGTGTAGAATTTGCCGTTTTTTTTTCCAAAAAGTATACGTATGGAAGCAATATCTACAGTTTTGTATTAGTAAAAAAATAAAATTATAACTACGGTAAATACACACAACTCGTATAAGGATTTTTAAATTATTTTAAAAGAAAGAAAAGAAAAAAAAACGCAACAAATAGGCTACCCACATCATATGCTGAGTTTCATTGTTGCTATATTACCATTTTTTAAATACAGGATTTAGTATGATTTAAAGTGCAAAACCGCTCGGTGTCTATGAAATACAGTCACATTACTGGTAAATCCATTCATCGTTAATTTAATAAAAAATTACTACATTAAAGAATTATCATAAGTTATTATACCTAGATTCTACGTCTTAACCAACATCTTTTTGTTCATTGAGTAAGGTACCTGCGGGTAATAAGGCCTGTCGGCTAATAAGGCCTAAGTAGCAAAAATCGTATTTATAATAACTGCTCTCGCTCAAGGAGATAACAACAGACTCCTATTACACGATAATGTCTCTACAAGTTTGTAGAGACGCGCTACCCCGCGTCCTGCCACCAGAGTTGTATTATTTATCATAAGATACGTCCGTACTGGACCAATAATAAAAATCAGTCTAAATAAATCTTAAGATATGTTTTGTTTTAATACACTTAGCAATTTTATCTGTGTGAATAAGTGCTTTGTTGATCTTGAAGATTTGAATAACGTATTGTCGTAATTTTTAAAAAAAAATTGGTTTTTCTTAAATACTTGGTCGGCGGTTATTAAGGCCTACGAAATTTCACCATAGGCCTTATTGTACTCCCTCTTCGTGTGTAATTTTTTTTTGTTTTAAGTGTATTTTATATCTCTTTAAAAATATTGTAAATGCAAATAAATCGTACGCTTTTATTACTAAACTGATATCGTAGTCAGAAAACGACCTGGTTTCAGCTGTTTTTTTTTTTTTTTTGCGCCCGATGCAATTAAAGGGCTACCCTATACGTAGGGAGGCGGAAAATGCATTACGCATACCACGATAGCTGGTCTATCGTGGTTATGAGGGGCTCACTGTCCTACCGGGGCCACCCTCTAAAAACCGCCTGATTGGGGACAGGCAACTGGCTGATTAAGCTCTATTGTGCCTTATCATGAGCGACCCTCTTTTGGGAAAAGAGGGCGCAGATTTCGCAGAGTCAGAAAACGACCTGGTTTCAGCTGTACAATAAATGCAAAGATAAAGTGTGTCGAAGAATTAAGTCTTTGACATTAGAAGCTATTGAATTATGTGTAAATTATTGGCCCTGCGCCTAAACTCTCTCGGACCGTAATGGATTGCGATTTGATGATTGTGAGAGCGCACCTGTGCTTGCACATTCAGACACTATAATTCTGTACTGTGCAGATAGGCTAGTCTCCGTGGAGACTGGCCGCTGAGACGAAAATTCGGTTGAGACAACACTCAACCTAACAACCAATCCAACTCTCAACTCAATCTAACACTCAACTAACTCGATTACTCGAGACACAGCCGAAGCACTGATGATAATTACGAGGAGTGCGTTGTTTGTCAATTTGTTAATGATTATAATATTGACTCAGTGCTGTAATACGAGGAAGTTTATATTTTTTGTTAGAACTTTAAGTCGTAATTGCTACATTTTTGTAATTATTGATCACAAATATTAAATATTTTACGTATATTTTGATAATTTGAGTTCGTTAAAGCAGTAGGCCTTGTTACCCAACCATAGTAAAATAAGGCCTACTAGCAAAGTTTTTAGAAATATTTAATTTTGTTTTTGTTTACGGCAAATGTTAAAATTTTTCGTTCATGCTTTTAGAAATTGTACTAATCCAACGATTTTTATTAAAATATGTAGACCAAGTTGGATATTTTTCACATTTTATTCAAATATCCCTTAGCTAGGCCTTATTACCCGCAGGTACCTTAGTAGTAATTTATATTTATTTTTAAAACTATTAATTGTTGTAAGGCTACGTAAGGGAGGTGGCAGATTGTTCCAACACTTTGTTGCATTGTATTTAAAACTACCTCTGAATGCAGTTGAGCGGCTAAAACGATATAATAATTTTTGTTCAAGTGATCTGAGATAATGTGTATTATTGTGATCTTTGGCCCAATCAAGCTTATTGTACAGATACAGTAACCATTATGAGGTGCATAACGCCCACATCAACTTATCACCCGATTGGCTGTGTAGTTGGTTGTCATCTTTATTCGTATAATACAATCGCTTGTTGGTGAAGTCGGAAAAAATTATTATCAGTATTAATATTATAAGCCATTTTGTCGTTACCATAAAATAGTTCTAAGCAACACTAAAGTTACAAGTTCCATTGTTTTATTGAACCCACTATTTTCAGATGAACGGCAATGACTCGATGAAAAGTGTTGTAAATAAACAATACAACTCGCCGGTGAACATGTACAGCGACAAAAGCATTGCTGAGACGCTATCTGCGCAAACCGAAGTGCTGGCTGGCGGCGTGCTAGGGTACGTATATATTTTTTAATAACAACACAATTTGTTGTAATGACGACCTCTTTACTCTTTAGACACACAACGTTACACCTAAAGTAAGTAAAGTTACAGCCTATATACGTCCCACTGCTGGGCACGGGCCTCCCCTCATTTCTGAGAGGGTTTTAGGGAGTGTCCGCCGCGCTGCCCCAATGCGTGTTGGCGAACTTCACATGTCTTCGAAATATTTTTTTTATCTTTTATTCCTCAGACATGCAGGTTTCCTCACGATGTTTTCCTTCACCGCCGAGCACGTGGTAAATCAGCACTTAAAATTGCAATTAACAATTTCATTGGTGCCGGCGGGGATCGAACCCGGGTTACTCGCGTTCTGTTATATTTACTGCGAGCGTTAACCATCTGATCTACCACGGCTCCTACTGGCCACTTAAACGTTACACCTACTGGCCACTTAATACGTTTGATTTAAAACGCTCATTTTTATGGACACGAAAAAGTCTAATGTAGCCAAAGAAATAAAAATAAACATACATCCGGGTAAGCGGAGTATTCTAATCAAACTAGTAGTGTTTTATCGGAGTTATATGTAAATTGAATACGTTTTTATTTTTAAAATTTCTATAATTAATGCTTTATAACAATTAGGGTTACCGAATTATATCAGCTAAACAGCAGTGACAACTTTAAGTGTGTGTAAATTTTACCATGCTTTAAACTTTTTAATAGGTTAATAAGTTGTACTGTTGGTAGGTACTGCATAATATTCTTTTCCAACGACAAAACAACTTGGAATACTACTGGATATAAGGATTTAAATAACTTATCTGAAGCCATTAAAGACATATGAATTCTCAAAAACACATGAATGCGGTAATTTCGTTTAGTAATTTTGGAAAAAATCGAATTGAAACATATTTGTCTCGCCAGTTATCTGAGGAAACGTGTTGATTACAACCGTAGTGTTTCTCCAAGATTAGTCGATATTGTTTGCCATTTAGCACAACAAGAACTTCCTTTCAGAGGTCACGATGAGTTGCTGCAGCATCAACAAAGCGACAAACGGCCGAGTCATTTATCTAGTACAATTCAAAATTAAATTATTCATTTTGTCGCTGATATAATGGGTGCGTTTGGCAGAAAAAAGCGCTAGCAAGCGCTTACTAGCGCTAAAATAGTTTTCGGCCAGGACACGATTCCTACTTCAGTAGCGCTGACACAATCCGCCATTTTGCTTATTTAATTTGTTTGTTTTGACGTAGTGTTTATAATTTGTTGTTTGCAATATTAGTTTTAAGTAATATAATGACATGAATAGACATATACATGTTATTAAAAATTCATGATTGGTAAGTTTTAAATATGAATACTTCACAAACATATATTTAAATTAGGTTAGGTTCCCCGGTTAAAACTAACATCGTGTCCTAGAGGAAAATAGCTACTTACGATTTGACAGCGCTTACCGCTTACGATCGCCATTTTGCTTACAAGCGCTTGCTAGCGCTTTTTTCTGCCAAACGCACCCAATTAAAACTAGCATCGAGTAGGTACAATTAAAACGTTCACCATTTTACGCGGACGTAATCAAATCTTTCCTTAAGAAAGAGAGATGATTCGATGTAGAATATAAATATTTTTTTTTTAGTTTTGTACATAGTTTGTTTGTACTTTGTACTTTTCTTTTGTTCACGTATTGTATTGTATGTAAAAATATTTTTCTTTCGCTCAAGCAAACCCAAACAGCCTTTTTCAAAGCCACCGAAGGTATGCAATTTCTGATATGTCGTACAATCTATCTAGCAGTAGTATGCCTCATGTGCGCTTTGTTAAACACGTCCTCGACAGCACTGAGTATGAAACTGAAGAGTGGAGACAGATCAGGATTGGTATATTTTTATAAAACTGCTAAAAACAACAAAACCATATCTTGGGCTTGCCCTAGTTTGGAGCCCTAGTTTCGCCACTGACTATGCCGTGGTAATTCAGGGGAGAAATGCAGGTTTTAAAATTATGAGCGCTGATTGACTACATGTTTGGCTATAAAGAAAATCTCCGTGAGACCTGCATGTCTGAAAAATATAAAAATATATATTTCAAAACATTTAAAGTCATCGAATGGAAATACCTACATGTTAATTACATTAGTCCTTTGAGTTTAGGTCGAGGCAAAACAGTGTTGATTTTATATTTTGTACATTAGATATCTGTGTTATATATTGAAATTTTGACTGCCACATTGGTCTAGTGGTTGTAGTAGTGCGACTGCTGATTATGAAGTCCTGGGTTCGAATACCGTATCGGACAAAAATCGATTATTGAGTTTTTCTGTCAAGAAATTCTTGGTATCTGCCCTGAATCAGGAAGTTGGCAGTGTCTCACCCCCGTGCCTCGGAAAGCACGTAAAGTCGTTGGTCCTGCGTCTGATCTCTCTTCGGATGTGTCGGTTTACCGTCCCATCGGATTATGAGAGTGAGGGAATAGAGAGTGCACCTGTGCTTGCGCATACACTATAATCCTGTCCTGTACCGATGGCTAGTCTCCGTTGAGGTTGGCCGGCGTGGCTGAAATTCGGTCTGGAGGACGTTATTATTATTGTATTGATGTTCAGTTAAAAGTAAATAAATACAAATTTAAAAAATTAAAGGATTACGGTCGAATTTCGACCAGTTTGTACCACTAGTTTACACATTAGGCTACTGTCGCTTCAATAAAATAAAATAACTATAACTTGTAGTTCAATTCAAATTAACGATTTTTAATTGTTTTTAATTAACAGAGTAAATTTCAAAAAGAATGAGAAGACATATGATGCGGAAAAGAGTGCTGTGTTCAAGGTTTTGCAGGAGGAACAAAACGATCCTGAGCCAGGTAAAACAATTAAATTAATGAGGTTACAGCCATCACAATTTGACTGGGCCTATGTCCAGATTGCCTCATACGGGGGACTGTTTGCGATATTTGCGACGCTTGACAAGCGGGTTGGTCAGCGCAATTTTTTTATTCAACTGTGATCAGGAAGACGCTGCTGAAGAATCTCCTGGTTCAGTTTCCCTATGTTGCCTCTTACGACACTCACGGGATAATAATGGGGTAGTGGATATACTTACACCGCCACTACATGATCACATTAATAAAAAAAAAATCAATTTCTTAATAATATTATCGTACATGGGTACTCGAATTCGAAAATATGGTTTATTTTGGCTAATTCCTTACATTATTACTATTTTTACCATCTATTTAAATTTTCATTATAAATATTCAATTTATTACCAATTTTTTCTTAAACTCACCAATTTGAGTGCTAGTTCACTTGTTCTAAATTGAGTTACCTATCCGAATTGGGTCCGAAGTAGAGGCAAGCGTAACGAACGCTTCACCGGCGCCGGTGAGCGGACTGCGGCACGTGACCGCTCCGGTCACGAAGCCCGACGCGCCGCTCAACACGGGCGGCCTACCTCCCGGCCAGAACATTTGCGAGGACTGCGAAAGACTCATTACGTAAGTCGGACGAACATTGCTCGACACGGTTGCAAACGCACGGTATTCCGTCTCGTCAGAGATTCAAATTCATCAAAGGAAATCGATTGTGAGGTTATGCAACGAACAGTTTTATTATCGTTCGTATGGTTTAATGGTTGAATTTAATAGAGTTAAGGCCGATTTACATTGGGTTAGTAACCACCATCAGAAATAGGGCCGATGCCTTTCTAAAGTCGATGTGCTGTACCCTCGTGCCAGCAGCATTGACTTCCCCCGTTTAAACACGGTCTGTTAATGCTTTGTAAATTACAAACTGGCTCCGGTTTCTAACTCAACCACTAAAGTGTAAATATAAACGAATGTTACTAGAGGTTCCGCTTTAAGATGTCCTGTTTTTTAAGTCGAAAGTGTGATGACCCCACCTCAGACGTCCCGAATTTGGTACAGAATTTTATGTCCGTTGAAAAAAGAAACTATTGAAGAAAGAAACTCTACCAACTAGAAGTCAATGACGAGAAGTTAAATTTTCAAGAACAAATGTGTTGGTTTGTTTAAGTGTCATAAATATTTTTGACTTTGTTTGCTTCGCACGTTTTAGCCGATAGTAATTGATCGTATACATTTTAAGAAATTGTAAGTAATCTTTTAGAATATTTACGTTTCTAAGGCTTTCCAATAAATCACACTTTGTTGGAACAAGATGTGGTAACGTTGATTTGGTGGCCGGTGTCAGTGTGTTGCCCGAAGTAAATCTGCCTTAACGGATTGTTGCGGGTCGGCAGAGGCGTGCCACTTTAAGTCGCGCGGACGCGGGGGTAGCGGCGGGTCGCCGTGCGGCTTGCAAGTGGCGGGCGCAGCGGCGCAACGTGGCGCTGCGTCGCGCCACCTGGCGGCCGCGCCGGCGCACCGGCCCAGCCTGCCCGTGCCGCACCCTGCGCTCCCCACCGTCACCGACACGCCCACCTGCGCCGATTGTAAACGCTACATTATGTAAGAGGCGCCTCGAGGAATGCCTTGCCGTGTTGCAACCGTGTCGACCTGTGTAGAACTTGAAGTAGTTATTACGTTATGTGTTTGTTGTCATTAGTAGTGGTGAGCCGCTGACTATTTTGATTTAACAAAACGCACCGGTAGCAAGTTTTCACTATCTCTTTAGCTTCAATTCCTACTCGTTGAGTGACTTTTTCGCGTTTCGTTGCTTTGAATCTACGCTCACCACTACCTGCGTTGCGGCCTCTTGCAAATATCTAAACAATATTAAAAGACGCCGTAATCGATTAATACAATTATTACGACAACATTTGCGTACTGTCGTGGTACTTGTGTTATATAACAGCTGTATATATACATTCATTGTATCTCATCAACGTAATCGATTTCACCTTTTAGTATACATCTTTAAGCAACCACTCGTGAGTAGATTATATGTATCGAAGCAATGACTTTAATGACACTATACTCACTCAGCATGTCATCACCACGTATCGTATTTTTAAACGCACAAGAATACCTAATATCGCCTTTAGAATTTTGGCATCGCAGTGCCGGTTTGGTCAGCATGTTTGTATGCAACGTAGTAGAAATACAACACATATTTTTGTCGTATAATTTTAAAACAAAATTGACCCTTTTTGATAGATACGTTTGCTTATAGCGGTGTGTTCGTGCGCATCAAGGATAAGAACTTGCACGTGGAGTGCTTCAAATGCTCTACGTGCGGTTCGTCGCTGAAGAACCAAGGCTACTATAACATAAACGGCAAGCTGTACTGCGACATCCACGCGAAGCTCGTGGCGCGCCAGAACCCGCCTGCACCTAACCTCGAGCCTGTCACCGTGCCGCCGTAAGATGTTTGAAATTCTATTCATTTTTAGTATTTGCTTAAGCACCCACCTACCTTCGTGTATATAGCATTTCTTTATATCACATTTGACAACAGGTAAGCATAATAAACTAATGCCTCTTCCTTTCAGGAATCGATATAGTAAAAGTACGAGCTGAAATAGTTTGTATTTGTGTGAAATTAAATTTATGATAAATTTTAATTGGTTTTTTTATCATGAAATAGAGTTGTGGATTTATAACTTTTTAATTTATTTTTATTCAGTGGCAGCCGAATTCCAACAAACACGTATTCAACACCTTTGCCTCCACTTGCAACCAACAACTACACCAACGGCTCGTCTTCTATGTTTAGCGTAAGTATCAAAAATATAAAACATCATAGTATTATATTAGCCCCATAAATTGGTAATGCGCTTCATCGCATGCGAACCTTGTCACATTAACGTCCACGTGACGTCATCTGCAACTAAAAAGTACAGTCAACAAAAAATTTTTAAAGTACTAGTAATATTGATGTGAAAGAAACTCTGTCTGCCGCTTTTTATTATTCTGTATTCCTCTTCAAGCCTCTTAACCTGATTTACCTACTTTTTCCAATCTTCAGGAATTATAGATTCGATCTTATTCTAATTGTTTGTTATTTCGTTTATATTAGTTTTAAATAATCAAATCATCACTTTTTTGTAAATTATATAGTTTACGGTTGTGCAAAATAAAAAACATTTAACTTTTGGAGGAGATGAACTAACACTAGGACAAACATTGTATTATTTTTCCAGCCGTCAAGCAACATATCGAGTTCGGGACCAAAGCCGTTTGGTTCGTCGCTGGGTTCGACGTACTCGCCGTCGCTGTCGCCGCGCTCGGCTCCCATGTCGCCTGCGCGGCCCGCCGCCGCGCCCGCGCCCCCCACCGCGCCCGCGCCCGCGCCCTTCGCACCCAGTAAGCGAGTTACATTTGCTGTCTAGTAATTACGCAAATTCACCATTTAATTTACAAAGTTTACTCCATACTCCTTTACTTTGACTTGTATTCTTATACCTTTGTTCATGGATAGATACTTTTTACTGCATTGAATAAACCCATATGATATTAGGTCGCCTGCTTCTTCGACCACTTTATTTCGTAAACAGTATCAACGTATGAACGGTCATTCTAATGGATGGAAGTGAAAGTCATAGTATATAGTCTTAGGAAGACCATCGCAGTTTATATGAAAGTTTAGCTCGAATTAGGTAAGCTAACATGGCGATAAAGTGCCGTTGCTTTAGTTTGAAAGAAAACTTACCTTAAGTTATTAGTTCTTTTCTTTACATATTTTTTTAAATTTATAATAATATAAAATATCACCTTCAGAAAAATAATATCTTCGAATTTCTTATTTTTTCTATGACAGCATTTTTATTCCCTTTTACTTATTATGAAATATAAAACCCTGGGCTAGATTGTTGAGCTCTAACTCAAGACTCTCTCACTGGCAATGCTGTTATCCACTAGCAGGCAGTGGCATCTGAGATTAACCTTTCCGGATTGGCATACCCACAAAATTTGTCCTTGGCCAAGAACGGACGAAGGAAGAGGAGGCCTTCGTTAGGTTGTAAGTTTGTAAGGTGATTTAAGCAAGGTAGACATTTTGACGAAGAAATTGTTAAGACCTGCTTAACCTGTAAAAGCTCGAAGAATCCAATTGGATTCTCAAAATATCACCTTGTAGAGCTGTCACAACAATTCTTTTTTTAATTTTATAGTAGGTGTGTATGTGCGCGGTAAAATTATTTAAAATAAAGCATTACCACTCATTTCGAATCTAAAAGATAAAACGACAGAATGTTTGAGATTTTTTGAATTAATTTTTCTTTAGTATTTGCCTACATTACTTATTCTGGTTCAGAATCGGCCAAATTTACAGAGAAGGTTCAGAATTTTTGATTACATTCTCAGCAAATTTGGCTGGTTATTGCAAAATAACCCTGTATATCATAACTCGTTATTTAATGATTTTGGGGCGCATGGAAGCTAATGATTTTTTTCTCCGCTTAGTTATAAGGCGATCGGCCGACCATAAATTACTAGACAGCCGACTAAAAACCAACTCAGGGAGTTTTGTGTCTCGTTACATATTTTAAAAAAACTACCTAGCCGATTTGATTAGCGTCCATGCACGCTTAGATAATATAACAACACTATTTGTGAAGCTGGCCGTTAGGTTAGCTCGCCGATAATTTTAGATTCCATGCGCGTGTAGACTTACCTCTTCTTTAAACTGGTCCTCCTTACGAAGCAGAGACAATATATTTTAAATACTTTTCTTTTTTAACTTAACAAGAACCTGAAATCACTATATATACCTACTTTAAAAATTACGAGATAAGTAAAGGGATCTTAATGTAGCTTTCACAATCATTTAAGGAATAACTTCTAAGGAAGGTTTTCGTTTTTATGTGAAGATGATACCTTTTACCGTTTTGTTATCAAGTTGAAAAATATCATATTAAACATTTTGAATTGCATCCGTGCGAAGCCGAGCAAGTACGTGCTACTTAATAGAGCAATGCAACATAAATAAATAGTGATAGAAGGTACATTTAAGACACATATTACAATGATATTACGATAAAAAATTTTAAAATTTGTCTTACTCGTATTCTATCTTATTTAACGCAGTTTAAACTAAGTAAAATGAATCAAATATATATAAATATATATATATATAATATATATATATATATATATATATATATATATATATATATATATATATATATATATTATATAATTGTGTATTATAGTATTCTATGCATAGAAAGATTAAACGAATGTCGAGTAAAATGAATTTTCATTACAATTCAGCTAGCCCCAAATGTAACATATATATATTCATAAAGCTATCGTTGTTTTGACAGAGGGCCCAGGTTCCATTTTTAAAGGTAATTTATGATTAGATTTATAAAGATGCTGATCGGCTTTTTATAGCTATACTTAAATGTAAATTGCAAAGATGTGTGATGTGCTAAGCAGGCAGTCATTTCCGTCGTAAAATTAAAATAACTAATTTCCTGACATTCTGCCTTAGTACAAATCATGTGCCATCTTATCATTCTATTGATTAAATCATAAATCAGATAACATTCCTGCTTCTAAAACACATGCACTCTTTTTATCAGTCTGTTGGAGTAATTGATATAAAAAATATTTAAGGTTTCAAATTGACTAATGTTTACTTTCATTTATTTTCCCTCCTCTTGTTATTAATAAAATACTAATAGCTCAAAATGTAAAAAGCATTGTGTGGCCTCCACCATCGAACCCCCCTGATGACGGTATGAGTGATGCCGATCAAAAAGTCATGCACATGGATCCAATGGAAGAAAGAAGGAAATGTGATGAAATCATGAAAAATGAAAACTCCAAATCAGAAATTGTTAATCACATACAAAAATGTTCGGAAGTAGTTTCTACGGAACAAACAGCTGTATATTCCTCTGATGTTCAATTTAGTACAGCTATGATATCCGCAGCAACGACCACTTCGTCGCAATCTGCATCAATGGTTGAGAGCAAACATTCTGGGATCATAAAAGAAACCACAAGCTCCGTCCACTCCCTTATAGAACATGCGTCTGTTCAAAATCAAAGTATATCAGTTTATGAATCGCAGATAAATCCAAAAGATTTGGTTCAACTGTCTTTGAATAACCCAACTGAGAACATAATGAACAATAAAGACATAACTAACGCTTTTGAAGAATCTACTAAATCAGAAGCCTTTATAAAAACACATTCGATTAAAGCTACTACAACAAAGGAAGGAAAAGTTGACGCGAATGTTGAATTTAATGTCTTAGAAAATAAAAATAAATGTAAGAGCGATGTGAACGTCATAAAAAACTTACAACAATCTACAGTTAAACCACCTGATACCATTCCTTTCATCAAAAATCCTATCGAACAAAAACTACAGTTGGGATCTAATGAAGAACGAATAACAAAAAACAATGCTTCAAGTACCACGACAGAAGCATTTGTTACTGCTCCTGAACCGGTATATTCACTTTCGTCTCCACCACAAGGATCTAATTTGCTACCAGTTATTAACAAAAGTGAAAAATCAAATACTATAGTATTTCCAGATGAAACAACGGCAATACAAAGCCAAACAAAAGCCTTAAAGAAACTGGAGGCAAAAACAAAATGTGATAGTCCGTCTAAATCGATGGAAAAAGTGTTCAATGAACCAGCTAAAAAACGGGTTCCTTCGCAAGTGTCTACTGTGTCTTCGGAAAAACGCGGTTCTCTTAGAGATGCACTTACGATAGCTCCAGAGCGACCATACAGTCCTCTGAGTTTCTCAAATATACCGAAATACTTTACATCAACATCTTTAGATAAATATAAGTTCTCAGATATTTCACCTCAAACTGAGTCGAAAACGCCGTTGGAATCTTCAATTTCAAACGAACCAAATCAATGCTTAATTCAACAAAAGGGGAAAAACGTACAATCATTGTCAGAACCATCAGCCTTTAAACCCGTAGTCAAGCAAGTTTTCCCAGCACTAAAGCCTGAGGAAACAATGTCTGCGTTTGCTTCTGCTTCTGTAACGAGTCAACCTAACTTTGAGCGTAATATCAATGAAGAGTTATCTCAAACAGCATCGGAGCATTGTGCTGTAACAAGCACTAGCCGTATCCATAGTTTTACATCAGCGTCACAAAATAATTTTGAACAACAAGATAAAAATGAGACTAATTCCGAGCGAATTCTGCCTCAAAGAGGCATCACACCTGAATTTTTCAATGCTCCTGGGACTTCAACTTTAAATAATACAGAAACCAACCAAACAATACTGCCTGAACAAATCCATAACCAGTCAGAACAAAAGGAAAGCATGACTTTTCAGCCTGTTTTGGATGAGACAGTCATTAGAGGTTCACCTGTACATAGTAGATCCGCAACACCCAGTTTAATCAATAAACCAGCCCCAATAATTCCTCATTATCAGATGAATTTAGTCACCGTAGAACATTTAGCTCCGAAGAGCCAGGTGTATGAGCCTTCCAGTACTGAAGTTAGTCCTGCGTCTACACCTAAGCTAAGATCACGTTCTCCAGCAATAGGAAACTCGAGTAATGTAAAAGCTCACGCACCACGCATCAAAGAGCCAACGTCTCAAACAACATTGTCTAAAAAAATTGAAATAAATAATATGCAAAACATAGGCTCACCTTATACCATACAAAATAATTTAAAACAACCTTCATTTATAAAAGAACCAACAGGTATAAATTTAGAATATCAGAAAGAGAATTATTACAAAGATTGTTTTGAAGAAAACTCAATGCTTAAATTTACGGACCAAAATTACGGACAAACACAAATGCAGTCCCAAAATGCAGCTAAATATGGAAGCACAACTGTGCAAAAAATGGATAAGAAGTATGAAGAATATGAACAAATGCACAGTGCTAAAGTCATAGAAATTAAAAAGGGGGGTTCAATTTCCTCAGATTCATTCCAACAAATAGAATCTAATATTCAGCCATCTAACATCTCCAATAAAGTCTTTCCTCAACCTGTAATAAGCTTACGAGCCACCCATGAAAGTTTATCTTCTAATATTACTAATGAAAATGTTACCACTGCTAATAGAAATACTGAAATTTATAAACCGATTCCTTCGATTTCTGGTGCTAACCAAGATCCAGCGTGTGATCCTACCCCATCGACAGGTTCGAGTGTAGGAGCTGCCTCTCGAGGCAAAGCTTTCGGTGTTTCGTCGGCACCAAAACGAGGCAGGGGAGTTTTGAATAAAGCTGTACTACCAGGCTCTCGCATACCTCTTTGTGCATCCTGCAACGGAAACATTAGGTGATTCGATAGTAAAAAAAATATGTTTGATTGTTGTTTTGTGTGCTGCATGTATACAAGTTTATTTTTTCTCCAAAAATCAATTTTAGTTTGACTTTTCACTTTAGGCTAATAAGTTAAGCTAAGTGTTTTGAATTTCAATCAGTATTAGATACTAATTATTAACATAGCTTGTTTTACACATTTGTTTACTTCAGTGTTTTTTGCTTTCTAACAGCTAATGAAACGCAGAATTATGGCAGTCCAGTTAAAACGGAGTTCAAAAGTCAAGCCGAAGAAAGACTTATAAGGAAGATGGCTAAAATGGCTTTAAATGGCTATGAAATAGGAATCCAGAGAAAAATAAAGCCTGGTGATCACATACAGAGTATGGCAAACAAAATTCAGGATACTGTTGTGACCAAGCATCCTCTTAATTCAGACAGTATTTCATCAGAAAATAACAGTCATGAAAATACACTAAGAAGACCATTGAAAAAAAATACTGATGAAATATATAAAGCTACTGATAGCAATTATAATAACACAAAAAATATACCATCTTCAACATTATCTATTAATGTTGATAATGGATATCCTCCCATCCCACCGCCGATACCAAATACTCCTGTGCCAACGCTTGAAATACCGAGTACATCGATTTTAAATTCAATAAACATGCAGACTCCAATAAAACCGTTAGATTACTCTTTAAAAAACTCTGAAAATAATTTACTAACATTAAATTTCCTACAATCATTAAATAATACCGAAAAATCTCCAAACGGCAGTGGATATTCTAGTAGCGACGACATGAATAAGGAAAAATCTGAAATTAGTATAAGTAATGGTAATACATTAAGAAAGAAAACGAGCTTTGAAAAGCCTCTTTTTCCTGACGGGATAAACACAAATCAAGATGTACATAAGTCTGAGATAAAAGCCGAAAACAATTACTCCAACACTCTAAGTAAACGTAAAATTTTTGAAAGAAATGAAGAATCAATCAAATCAGACGAAACTTTTAGAAATGGTTTTAAAAGTAACAATGGTTTGTCAGAACTAAACCAATCAAATTTTCTTCGCAAATCACCTACCGATACTAGCAAAACTACAGTGAAAAATAATGATGAATATACAAAAAAAATACCCCACAACTTTTGTGACAATACAATGTATGCCTTAAAATCTCCTAAATCTGACAATAATACTACAAATATCCTAGAAAATGATAATGATGATAAACAAAATAACGACACAGAATTTAAATTAGATAATACAGAAACTGAGACTGTGGTAAGACGCAGAGAAAAAAAGAAATTTAAAAACGACGATGGTAGAAGAGATTCGCATATTGTCGCCCGTCCATTAAGTACTATGACCTCTGTCGATGTAGCTGAAGGACAATATCCTGTATGCCACATATGTGACAAAGCCATAACCAGGTAATGTAAATAATAAATCCAATATACTTACCCGAAAACTAAAAGTAAGAATTTTAAAATGATATGTCATAGCATGACTCTCTTACGTTAAAGCATGGTTTTGTTGTTTAATATTAATATAAAAAATATTAACATTGTAATTTTTTATATTACCGACACATTTAAACACTGGATTTATCTCTTGTTTTGTGAAAGAGTTTGTAATTATTTTTAATTTATTTGTGTACCAACAGGGGACCATTCATAACGGCGTTAGGGCGCATTTGGTGTCCAGAGCACTTCATTTGCGTAAACGCTACATGTCGTCGTCAACTTCAAGATATTGGATTTGTGGAAGAAAATGGACAACTGTACTGCGAATTTTGTTTCGAACAATACATCGCTCCCGCTTGCGATAAATGCCACGCAAAGATCAAGGGTGTAAGTACTTATACTTTTTAGTTAGTATAACAAACACGACGCCGTATGGTGGCAACACGTCTTTACATCTTTTCCTCGTGGGGCTGTTATTGTTTATCAACCATATCAAAGCCTATAGCTAGACATGGCCTTATCCTGTTGTAGGGAAGATTAAGTCATAATCATAAAAAAATGATTGATGGTCGAATCAACTGAAAACTAAAGGGGGCCACCCTCACATTGTCACAAAGTACAGTCAGAAGTCACCTACATCCGTCAACTCCCAGCATATTTCATCAAACCGCCGCTCTCACTTGGAGAGTGCAACTCGACTGGCTTCAGTTGTTAAAACGGTAACAGGTCCGCCAAATCTTAAGGCCAAATACTCAAACGCTACTCAATTTTAAGGTGTCGTTATGTCTCGTGGTATCACACTCACTTGGACTGAAAGTGATATAGACAGCACGAGACTTAATATCAGCTTAAAATTGAGTAGCGTTTGAGTATTTGGACATTACACTTATAGCGTGTCTGATGGGCCTAACTCGAAACAAGTTTTTTTTATTCATTATAGATTATAAATAATACTTATCGAAAGTCACTTTTTTATTTATCATCCACGTAAGAACTCACAATTGAAGAGTTTTCGAGTGATTTATCGACGAAATTCTTCGTATTAGCAAACGCAGTAGGGCGCTTTTGGTCCTTAGGCTGGATAGAGTGATGATCTTTCTATTAATAATATAAGGCGATAAGATATTTTCAATGAAATACAAGCAAAGCTATCACCTAATATTTTATTACTTTCCGACTTTTTCAGGATTGCTTGAATGCAATTGGAAAACATTTCCACCCCGAGTGCTTCAACTGTGTATACTGCGGCAAGTTATTCGGTAACAATCCGTTCTTCTTAGAGGACGGTTTGCCATATTGTGAAGCAGGTAACATTTTTTATTTAAATGAATAAAAGCTTTTGTCATAGGCATTTAAAAGCTTTTGTCTATAAACAATTTCGTAGTTAAAGCGCTGCCAATTTTTTTTTGCTTATGTTTCCTACTTTTATTGAATGAATCAATTAGCTTGTTTCTGTTATTAATTTAGAGTATTAATTTCGTAATAAAACTATTTTATGGATTTTATCGGATTTAACATACTTATTTTAACTCTCGACGTTTCAGATGCTTTACAGAACCCATGGTCACGGGGAAGTGAGGGGGACTCATGTCCACGGGGGACACGTGACCATGGTTACTGTAAAGCACCAAAAACGTCGGGAGTTAAGAATAAATATATTAGACGGAATAAGATCCTTAAAAATAGTTTTATTCAATTTGTGTGTTCGCGTAAATATAAGAAATCATTTATGATTAAAACTACTTTTACGGATTTTATCGCGTTTATTTTTACTTTTTATTTTTTAATTCCCGACGTTTCGGGCGCTTTCCAGCACCCATGGTCACAGGGGACTGAGATGACTGACGTCCCGATGTCATTGTTAAACCCGGAGTACCTTCAGCTTTTTTAATTATTGTTTATGGTCCGATCTATGCAAAATGAACTGACTATGTCCTGAGGTCTTGCAGTGGTATGCTTGGGTTTAGTTTTAATTTTATTGATTATAGGATCCCAAGCAGGTGGTAGTACCCAGCCTCCTTCTCTATTGAAATTAGGATGTTTTTTAATTTCCATCCTTGGTAGGAATCGGAGTACCGATTCCTACCAAGGATGATAGAGACATCCTAATTTCAATAGAGAAGGAGGCTGGGTACTACCACCTGCTTGGGATCCTATAATCAATAAAATTAAAACTAAACCCAAGCATACCACTGCAAGACCTCAGGACATAGTCAGTTCATTTTGCATAGATCGGACCATAAACAATAATTAAAAAAGCTGAAGGTACTCCGGGTTTAACAACGACATCGGGACGTCAGTCATCTCAGTCCCCTGTGACCATGGGTGCTGGAAAGCGCCCGAAACGTCGGGAATTAAAAATAAAAAGTAAAAATAAACGCGATAAAATCCGTAAAAGTAGTTTTAATCATGTGCAATGTTCGCGTAAATATAAGAAATCATTAAGAAATCATTTATTTTATAATGTTATAGTAGGCCCTTAAAAATATCCATTCAAATTTCAGACTGGAACGAGCTGTTTACTACAAAATGTTTTGCTTGCGGGTTCCCCGTGGAGGCTGGCGACAGGTGGGTGGAGGCGCTCAACAATAACTACCACAGTCAGTGCTTCAACTGCACGGTGCGTATGATGCGAGCCTACTAATATAAATACAGTTAAAGAACACCTACTGTTTACCTGTAACGTGATAAAATTAACACAAATAAATTTTAATTAATCTGATTCCTCTTTGTTTACATGAAACACGAAAAGTTTATTAAATATTATAGGTAATATAACCGTAATGTATTTTACATAAAATAGTCAAACCTTAAACCAATGTTTTGCATAAACTGTATTCATTCATCTAGTACCTACCTACCTACTGTAAATATTTTTTCATATTCTTATCACGTTGTGTCTAAATGTTGTAATCGAACATTTTATAAGTTTCGTAAACGCACAAATAAGATTGAATAAGTAATTATCATATTACATCCGAACGTTAAATAATTATCCTTAATTAACTTGATTACAATGATCATCTATATTGCCTATTATGATTGGCCGGAAATAAAAAAATACACGATTAAATATACACATTTAATTTCTACAAAAGCCGTAGCTCCCACATCATGTCTTCCTCAAATTAACCATTGTACTTACATTGTGTGCGTGCTCCCAGCGTGTGTTCCATATTATGTCTTGAAAATTATTAACTTATATGTTTATTTAGGACCTCGAAAATAATAAACCTTCCCAAAATTCTTGGAAGGATATATTGTGTTGTAGTATTTAGTATACCCCTTTAAGAAAGTTGCTTGTAGACAAATGCTTTAAAAGTTGAGTGACGTACTATTAAAGTAGAATTATTTTGGCTATTTTATGTATAATTATAATAAACATAACAATATTTGTTGTATATACAAATCTTGTACACAAGGCTGAAATTCATTATGTCAGTCCTTACTTTGTTGCTGAATTATATAGCCAATGGTGTTGTATTAAAAGGACATTGATTTGAAAATAAAATGCATAATATGGTATCTGTTGAACGCATGAATTTTTACAATAATTTACTATCAATACCACCCTTTTGCAAATTGTGAACATGTCATTAGTTACAAAAGTAAATGAAGTTTTGATTTGATGCTCTGTTCTTCGAGACGCATTTCAATCGTACTATGTCCGTTTACTATAATGCTGTTGGCTTTTGTTGAATAATTAATTAACAGGTCTTGATTTTATTTTGGATGTTTGCATTTTTAAATAAAATGCGTCTCGTTACTTTTTTTGTAGGACCCGGCAAGTTAATAATGGTATTTTTTTACTTCCTCTTCTTGCAATTCGTATTTATATTTTACAGGTGTGCAAGAAGAATCTCGAAGGACAAAGCTTCTTCGCCAGAGGAGGCCGCCCATACTGCAGGATACACGCCCGCTAGTGACCCCCAGCAGATAATATATAACTCTGACACTGTTTATTCTACTACCGTTTTTCGACCAGTCTCTCTTTCTCCATCTACATTTTCCGACACTGATAACCATCCACCACAAAGAACAAGGAAGTTGGAAACGCCCCTCCACTTCGATGGAGGATTGTTTTCTGACATACGAAGTTCAGACGGCAAGTTACTAAGCAAAGTGACAGTTGATCGGGTGCATAGCTCAACACGTTGTGACGTCATCGACTCCCCTGGTATAACGGAACTTGTTAGTATAAACGGCAATAAGGACTATGTTGATGACATTGTTAAAACGGAGACGATCACAAATGAAGATGTTATCAAAGTTAAATTTACTCCAGTTCTTCCAGAGCTTGAGGGTCCACAGTTGACACCTAAACTGACATTAAATCGACAAACAACAACAGTAAAACTTATTGATAACAACTTTGAAGACTTACAGAGTTATAAATTAGTAAACTCGTTGTTTAAGGAAAATTCGAACAACAACTCGAATAATATTGATAATCGCGCAAAAAATGCAGACAATATTGGTGTGGAGGTCGATGGTTCAAAAAAAAGAGCACATAGTCCTCTGGCGAATTTCCTTGTTTCTGAACAATTAACTAAAATTGATAATTACTTGCAAGAAAGTTTAAATGTTTGCTCTGAAAGTAATTTAAATGAAAATTCAAAATCAATTACAGAAGTTGCAAAAGGAGAGACAAAATTGATACACGAAGAAATACAACAATCAAAAATTGACCAGGAAATATTATCTCACTCCAAAAACAGTTTAGATAAAGTTTTAAATAGTGACGGTGATGCACAAAAAACAAATTACCATGTAAAGGAATTATCAAATATATCTTCTCCAATTGACAAGATACCAGAAAAGAGCAAATCAAGGCTAAACAGTGTCAAAGAAAAACAGCTGGGAATTATAAGCGCTATTTACAATATGCCAATGCATTATCATGCCGCAATACTGTGTTTTTTATTAATTGTATATAACCTTATTTATCAGTATATAAAGCATAACTGTTACGGCTATAAGAAATAAATAAAAATAATTGCTTTGAAAATTTTATATTCATGTATTAAATAAACTAGTCACGGAATAATGATCAAAGGAATTTCAAATTACGTTTGAAAAGTTTTATTATAGTATTCCCTAATATTAGAAGTTGACTTGAAGATGTAAATAATAAACAGGTAATAGTATATACGCTCTACTATCATGTGTCAGTAATTTTAAAATATTAACAGATTGGTGCTTTTACAATGCTAAAACTGCTCGTGACGATGTGATATTTCACTCCTATTTACGTAATTTTAAATATAAGGCTTTGTATACAGCTTCCGGAATGTTACAATAAACTGTTACTAACACTAACAGTAGCGGTATAAATATCAGGTTTACGTCAACTGAAATTGGAAAATTTCTGTAGAACTAAATATTATATATTGGTGCACCAACTGAATGAATTAACTTACGAAATATAGTAAAATAGGTATCCCACTTATTATATGTTACCTATACATTTGAATATCGATAACGTCTTAAGATAGCTATTCGTCATATATTTAACGACAATAATGTAGGAGGTGAATATACATCTGCAGTTAATTTTTTAGCGTTAATTATTAATCATTATTTTAAAAAATTATTTATTTAGATTTAATTTACCGCTGTTAGTGTATAATGCAAATCAAATATGTGAGCTTAAATAAAATATTTTATTCTAATACAATTGTTTTATTTTGCATTTATACACTTTATCATTTAAATGAAGGTAGGGAAATTTTAGATGGAGAAAAGAAACCACCCAAGAAGCACAAGAGGCTGTTTATCAGCCGAATAACGGATTACCATCATGCTTTAAGCGAAATGAAAAAGCCGCGTAAGGGCTGTATAAGGCCTTGTACAGCCCTTATAACTCTTAAATGGGTACAAATTATTCATCCTTAAGTTCTTATAGCTGCTTAAGTGCTGTGTAGCAGCAATATAAGAGTGTTATAAAAGGTAACGGCATAATTTATTTAACCTTAAGTTCACATAGCTGCTTAGGAGCTGTGTAGCAGTAATTTAAAAGTGTTTTAAATGGTAACGACAGTAATATGCGATGAATACCGACTGACTAAGAGATCACAAGTTACTGTTTATTCAGAAAATATGTCACATGTACGCTCTTAATACATGTTTTAAAACGGAAAAGGCTGCTTGCGGCCTGTATATAAAAGTGAACATATTTGAAATACCAAACATATAGAATGAAATATAATACCCTAACCTGCCAATTGAACACTTGTTTCGTGGAGTGAATTACACGTAGATAATATTCATATTCCCTGGTAAGTATATTATTTTAGATATTAATAAAAGAAAACTGATTGAGAATGTAATTTTTCTGACATTATACATATATATTATGTAAGAAAATTTTAGTGCGCCACGAAAATGTTCTCTTTTTAATTAGTTTTGTGATATAAATAAGCTGTGATGGAAACTTCAATAAACAATTTTTCCCGCTTTGAAAAGAATTATATCCGCTCGATTGCTTGCGTAAAAAAAATTGGTAGCATACTTTGCCAGTAAGTCGGGACTGTGTTTCTCACGTTCGACCCGCCGTCAACAAAACTTAATTTATGACTTACTCGAGAGGAGCACTTCAAATATTTTAAATTTTATGAATAGCCATTGAAATAAGAAAAGAAAATACGTGTGTTATTCTCTCAGAATATGATTACAGTAATATTTTAGGGGTGTTGAAATCACAAGTACAAGCCATTTTAGCGACTTTTTGTAAAACATCGAGTTTATCAAAAAAATAAGATCGATAAGTGTATGATTATTTACTATATCCTTAAACTTAATGAATTACTTGATATATTTATCTATATTATAAAACGATTTATATTTAAATACATAGTAAAAATCTTAAGTGAAACCTGATGAAGAATTCAGGAATTGCGCAATCGATCGCTCTTTGTTAGTTAAAATCTAGGCTGTTATTACATAAAAACTTATAATATGATGAACAATTTATAAAACTTTATGACTCAAATTAAATAATTATATTCAAATACCACTACGACTATTTCGTATTTAAAGAATACAACATAATAACGATAATGTAAGCTATAGAAAATTATGTTTAGATTCGCGTCATTCTGAGTACTTTTCAAAGTCGACTTTAACACATTTTTCATACAGTATTTGCAAAAATATATAAAACACTAATAAGACATTAATGTGGTATACAAATACTAGCAAAAATCAATAAAATTAAATACTCACGGCATATTTTATCACCTCGTTAAATCCACTCAAGCGTCACTTCACTCACCAAACTTTAACTAACAAAGTTTCGATGTTTTTCGTCCAAGAGGTTGGTAATTTTGATCCAAATCTATGTTTTATATATTTGTTTTGGTTTTAATATGTAATAGTTAGACTCTATGCGTTTAAAATACGGTCTAAATTCAATTAAAAGAACTTCGTCGCTTTGCAACCACAGTTGCAAAGAGCAAAGTTAAGGATTCTGTTTTTGCAACTGTGGTTGCAAGAAGCAAACGAGCGCATAAGATAAAAAGTTATTAATATGATATCAGGAAGTAAAAACTAACGCAATCCATTCCTAATTCATAAAAAAAATCATAAAAGTTGAGAAATTAATCAGTATATTTATAGGTTACGATAAAATGGTGGATACATGTCAAACAGTTACGTGAATAGTTAAAACTCTTATATTCTGCCAAAGGCTGTTTAAAAGTTCACTAGTGTACTCTTAATCAGCAAAAAACTGAATAAAATTACACATGTGAACTGTATGCAGTTATAAGCTGTTTTCTTTACTTTTAATGTTTCACTAGCTCTACCGTAAAAAAAAAAAAAAAAAAAAAAAAATATATATATATATAATATTTTTATATAGGATAGGGTGACAAACGAGCACAGAGTCCACCTGATGGTAAGTGATTTCAAATAAAAAAGTACCTCAATAAATCTACACATTAAATATATGGGCCAAGATGTAATATAAACAAAGGTAAAAAAATGTGGGACTTCTTATAGACAATTTTATGTCGTGAAAAACTCAAAATGATTATATTTGTAAAAAATTGCACTAATTTGCATACGTTCTTTATATGTTGGGAATTGCAAACCAGAGAGCACTATTCGCAGCATACCATGGCTATGTCGCCTCAATCCTGAGATATGGCGTTATATTTTGGGTAATGCACCCAACATTCATGAAGTATTCATCGCACAAAAAAAATGTCTACGTGCGATCTGTAGTTAAAAAGCACCAACACGTGTAAGCCGCATTTTCAAAAATTAAAAATTCTAACATTTCCCCCATTATATAATTATGAAACAAGCATCTTTGTAAAACGTAATATTAACATGTATAAATTCGTGGAAAGTCAACGTCGCTCAGATAAGCTTCATTTAGTACCAAGTAGAACTGTTTTATTACAGAAGAGTATATATGCAATGGCACCAAAAGTATATAACAAAATACCTAATTTATACGTGGTAGCTCCATGCTGCAGTTACATTAGTAATATAGTTGTAGCACGCATGGGTCGGTTCGATCGGGGAAGGACCACGCTCTCACAGAATACCAACGTCAAATAGTAGCTTAATGCTGCTGTGTTTCGTATAGTGAGTGTAGAGAACCGGAGACCCTTTTTACTGGAAACGAGGCATTCTATCTTAGTCCTCACGGGTGAGAACGCATTTGCATTTTGATTCACAATTGAGGATAGATGTAGATGTCTATGGGCCACACTTACCATCAGGTGGACTGTGTGCTCGTTTGTCACCCTATCCTATATAAAAATTAAAAAAAAAACCTAAGTACATTAGAGATTGTGACAACATTAATATTTATAAACGTAAACTTTTTGATCTACTAAATGTAAAAGCATATTATTCTTTAGATGAATTCCTTAACGACACATTTTAACATTAAAATACTAAATTGAATATATACCTATCATGACATGTGCCAATTAATACTAGATGATTAGATAAAATGATGACAATTTTTATATGCTATATTCGTAGACAGAGAAACCTATAGACTAATGATTAGCGTGGCTTCGAGTGAGAAAGGACGATAAAGTAGTTTTAGGTTATGCAATAATCTTTATGACTTTTAAACATATTTAGATAAAATTAGTAAGTGTTCTCAGAATTGAACTGAACAAGATTGACCAATCTTAAGCTCACAAAACACTTTTTTCTCACTTAAACCAACTTGTAAACTCCTTAGATGGCTACGAACTGTCAAAGTTATTTAGCAAACTACACTTTGCTAAAAGAAAACCGGCACGGAGAAAGGAACAAACAATCACACCGCTCTATCTCATTTCTATGCAAGACGTAGGTATGCATAAATTTATCCTTTTCGTGTACGAATGCGAAAAAAGGCGACAATTTGTCTATAGGTTTCTCTATCAAAAGGCTATTTTATACTATACCTTTATTATCTTTAAAATTTTCTTATTATTAATACATTATTTAATTATTTCAGCTGGAAACTGACATCAGAAAAGAAAAAAAATGTTAAGCAATTATTATTTTGTATGCCTACTGGTGGGAGAGGAATCAAGAGAACCTACCTTGTATTTTACTATGTATATACTTACGGAGATCTGTAAAATAACCTATGTTCACAAAATAAACTGATTCGATTTGATTTGTGGCCCATAGACATCTACATCTACCCTCGATTACGAATCAAAATGCAGATGCGTTGTCACCCGTGAGGACTAAGATGGAATGCCTCGTTTCCAGTAAAAAGGGTCTCGGGTTCTCTACACTCACCATTTTACGCTGGTATTCTGTGAGAGCGTGGTCCTTCCCCTGTCGGGCCGATCCATTCGTGCTACAACTATACTACTAATATAACTGCATCATGGCTCTACAACGTAAAGCCATAATGTGAACAATTAAACAGTTGTTATACAGACTCTTTAGGGATCCGTAGTATTATATCTAAAACCACCGCATGGAAAACTTCTAGTTCAAAATTTTCAAAGCGATATTAT